CCGCACCCTGCTCAATAAACTTGAGACCTTGACGCAACTCAGACTGACTCTGTCTTTCTTTATGCGCCTGGTCTCCTTTCTCTCTCCCCCCATTGGCTTTGCAGGAGGTGCCCCCTCGAGACCCACGACTTACTAGACCTGCTGGACGGGTCAAAATTCTTTTCTTTTTAGATTTATTTATCTATGCTTACAAAAAATGGAGCATAAGCCAGAGGGGCAGGGGGTGGGGGGATGAAAGGATTCATCAGAGACAGAATGAGGAAGAGAATAGGCAGATTGACTGAAATACACTGCTGAGGGGAGCAGAGGGAAGTCTGCTGTGCCCTGTGGGTCAGCTCCCTGGCCCGGGGATTAAACTTGAACTGCAGTGGCTGCTGATAACCTTGATAGTGCAGAGACTTAAACCCTTGCACCACCAGAGAGACCCCTGCCAAACTATTTTCCAGGATGATTGGACCACTTTCCATTCGAACCAACAATGGATGAGAGCTAAACTCTCTCCGTTTGGTATGATTGCTATATTTTAATTTATCTGGTCGACATGTGGTGATATATGCTTACTGCATACCTTCATAGTTCTTTCTCTGCAATTCTATCTTCCTAGTACTCAAAATCCACCTCCTCAAATCAAGGAGACGAATAGACCCTGCCTAGGCTCCCCCTTCTATGCCATGGCCTGGGCACTCTCTCCACGGAGTAAAGTGAAGGAGTAATAAACTCATCTCACGTGTTTCCCTCGAATCAGTGATCCCTTCATTGCCCGGTGGGCAATGACTTGAAACAACTGTTACTTCATATAATTTGTTCATTTTCCTAGTTTTAGACAAAATTCAACTGCAGTTATTTCACCGTGACTACAAATGGATGTTTATACAGTGAGAAATAGCAGTTAGGATCTATGTCATAGATGGAATCACTGTCAATTTTCTAATCAGTTATCCTGTGTCGACCTATTATTTATCATAAATTTTGCTTGGTTGGAAGTTAGGAGTCCCAATATCAGAACTACCATTATTTATTTAGAGTATTTGTAAAGTTGCCCTCTATAGTCACTTTTTTTTTTTTTGGTAGAGTAAAACATCATCCTATTTGAGCCTTAATTCCTTCACTGCGATTCTAGGATATTGTTTGACTTCCATGAAAAGCAGTGAGCAGGCCTTCCCTGGTGGGGCAGCGGGTTAAAGCACAGCACTGAGAAGCTTAAGCCACTTCCGCATGAGTTCGATCCCCGCCTGCCCTGGAGGTGACCACATGGCACAGCAGACCTCTCCTGCCCCGCCCGCTGCTCCCCTCAGCAGTGTACTTCGTTGATCTCCCTATTCTGCTCCCCACTCTGTCTCTGGTGAATCCTCTCACCCACTGCATCTCTGGCTTGTACCCCAGTTCTGTATGAGGAAATAAATAAATCTTAAAAAAAAAAAAAAGAAAGAAAAGAAAAGCAGTCAGCAAATGTCTTATTCCTAAGCAGAAAAATAATGTCGATCAGGTCATCAGCGTGTGCTGGTAAAAGCAGTAGTAATAACAACAGTTAATAAATTTATCCTTCTACATGCAGTGTCTTATATAACATTTGCAACACTCATGTTAATGGACAACTATTGAACAAATGTAGAAGATGACAAAATTGTAAATAATCCTTAATAGTAACCAAACCTCTCAGGTATAAAGAAGCAGGTGGCATGAGTCAGGAAGTGCATGATCCTATGATCCTTGCTGACTCTAGATTCCTGGACTCAGTGGAGGATTCTTTATTCCCTCTTCCTGATACAAATAAACCTTGCTTGAATAAGTAGGCAGAATGGAGACTAGAGAGGATTAACACAAGCACATCATGAGGGTGAAATGCAATACACATACCTATCACAAAGCAAATGCTCAAAATTGGTTAGTTGTTGTCATTGTTACTATTAAAAAAAATCGACTTCGGGCCCTCCCTGGTGGTGCAACAGATAAGGACGCGACACTGCAAGCTAGCTGCAGCCACTTCAGTGCTAGTTTGATCTGCAGCCCCGGAGGTGACCACATGGCGTGGCAGACCTCTCCTGACCCGCCCGCTGCTCCCCCCGCTGCTCCCCTCAGCAGTGTACTCGTCGATCTGCCTGTTCTGCTCCCCACTGTCTCTGGTGAAGCCTCTCGCTGCCCCTGAGCCTCTGGCCTGTACCCCAGTTCTGTATGCACAAATAAATAAATCTTAAAAAATATATATATATAATCGACATCAGTACTGCTAAAAGGTTGATCCAGTAGACTTTCAAGATCACAAACTACTGTTAAGGCTCCTGGTGAATGATAAAGCAAAATATCCTCTAACAGGCCTTGATTATGTCTAGAGAGGATTTTTATAGTGATTTAATAATCTTCAGAGTGCTGTTAAAAATATGATGGCATGATGTCACTTTTAGCTAAAGCCTACTTTTAGAGCAGAATCAAGACTGTGTACTTGCCTGGTTTTGCTCACCCAGGACATAGGGACAGATAGCAACAGGACTGCTGCCAGACATTGTCTTATCTAGGGAAAATTATCAGGTTTTCAAAATCTGCCTGTTTTTATAGGAGTGTAGTTGTTGGGAGAGGGAAATAAAGAGGGAAAACAGGAGTGGAGAATCAAGAGCTTGGAAAACCTTCATAGGTAAAGATATGTGAAGTTTCATGGTTGATTAAAATCTTCAAATGAAGCCATAATCTAGTTCTAAAATGTGAGAAAAAAGGGCCCTCCCGGGTGGCGTAACAGGCTGGGACGCAGCACTGCAAACTAGCTGTAGCCACTTTAGTTTGAGTTCAATCCCCGGCCCTGGAGGTGACCCACATGGCCTGGCAGCCCTCTCTTGACCTGCCCGCTGCTCCCCTCAGCAGTGTACTCTGCCAGTCTGCCTGTTCTGTTCCCCACTGTCTCTGGTGAATTCTCTCACTGACTCTGCCTGTACCCGAGTTCTGTATGAATAAATACATTTTTAAAATGTGAAAAAAAAATCATGTTGGAAGCATGACCCATCTAAGTCAAAGATCTTGATATTCCAGAAATGACAGGAAAGGTTTAAAAGGTGTGCTGATGGGGCCATCCCTGGTGGTGCAATGAGTTAAAGCACAGTACTATGAGGCTATCCACAGCCACTGCAGCATGAGTTTGATCCCTGCCCAGGTTGCTGAGCTATATGATGGCACAGTAGACCTCTCCTAACCTGTCTACTGCTCCCCTCAGCAGTGTATTTCCGTCATCTGCCTGTTCTGTTCCCCAATCTGTCCCTGGTGAATCTCCTTACCCCCCCACCAGCTCTAGCCCGTACCCCAGTTCTTGTGTGCACAAATAGTTAATCTTAAAAAAAAAAAAAAAGGGTGTACTGTTGGTGAATGGAAGGGAATGACCTGGCTTGAAATTCATGGGCAAAGTCAGCTGCTATAAACCACAAGACAGTGGGTGCAGTTTCCCAGGCTGGAGACATTTCCTGTTCTGGGTATTTATCTCAATACCCAAATAACCATATATCAAAGTGGCCGTGGGAGTGTTTATTCAGTGCTGAAGGGGGAGGATTAGGAAGGGAGGTGGGTTTAAGAAGTAAGTCTGGGTTAAAGCACATGGCCCAACAGGACATAACCATTTTTCTGCAGACTACCACCCAGGGCACTGTGCAGTAAGGAAACCCTGGGCGGGAAGAATTTGGGAAACAGGAGGACAGAATCTTGGAAGCTACCTAGGTGTGCAGGTAAGTCCCAGTGGTGTGGGCTGTGCCCTAGGAGACAACACAGGCAGTTCGTTCTCTTTAATTTAAAATATATTCTTTTTAATGATTTATTTATTTAATCATACAAGAGTTGGGGTATAGGCCAGAGGTACAGGCATCTGACAGGATTCACCAGAGACAGAGTGGGGAGCATAAAAGTGGATCTACTGAGATACACTGCTGAGGGGAACAGCTGGCAAGACAGGAGAGGTCTGCTGTGCCATGTGGGTCAACTCCTGGGCTGGGGATCAAACTCATTTCATAGCAGTGACAGCACTGAGCTTCAACCCCAAGACCACCAGGGAGGTCCTGATACCATGCTTAATGCATTTCTTCTTTAGGAGTACAAAAATCTATCAGCAGGAAATACCCAATTGCTAAATGACTGTAAGTGGCAGAAGGGATCTGGCATGACATGATGTAGCCTTAGCAGGACTCCAAGATGTGAGATTAAGCTTCCGTCTCCCTCCTACCCTCTCCCCTCAGTTTAGGAGTGAAAATGGACCACAGTGCTTTTTCTGTTGATCTTTTGAGGGGAGAGCAGGTGGCAAAGAGTAACAGACACCTGAGTCAGCAAAAGTAAATGTTGGATAAAAATAGATAGGTGGGCCCATAGTTTAGTGCTTTACTAAGGGGACAGTTTTATTTTTTTAAGATTTATTTATTTATGCACACAGAAATAGAATACAGGTATGGGGTGATGGTGAGAGGATTCGCCAGAGACAGAGTGTGGAGCAGAACAGGCAGATGTGCTGAAAAACACTGCTGAGGAGAGCAGTGGGTGGGTCAGAAGTCTGCTGTGCTATGAGGGTCAGGGATCGAACTCCCTGGCCAGGGATCCAACTTGTGCTACAGTAGCTGTGATAGCTTCACTTCAACACATTGCACCACCAGGGAGGACCAGAGGGACAGTTTTCTGTGAGAATTCTTGCAAAGAGAGTGTGACACTGATTGCTTGTTTTCTCAACATTCTCTCTGGCTATTTGAAGCTAAAAGCCAGTTTGGTCCCCATATATGGGCCAATTTCAGAACTGGTTTTCCTCATCACCTCCCACTCTGCAGGATCCCTATGGCATTACCCAGCAGTGGGGAATGTAGTAGGGGGAGATGGGAGGGATGGGGAAGAATCAGAAAGGAACTGTGCTTTGAGGGCAGTGAGGTGGCGTGGAGAAGGGGGAGGAGATCCCAAAGACTCTGGATTTGGGGAGACCGGAGTCTCTATTGGAGCCCAGCTTCATCCCAAAGTCCATTGTTCTCTTTCCTTCCTCCCTTCCAGGCAAAATGAAGCTGACGCTGGTGCAGCTCTTTTTCATGCTGCTGCTGGTGCTGCTGGGTCTTGGGATGGGCCTGGGCCTGGGCCTTCACATGGCAGCAGCTGTCCTGGAGGACAGTGATCAGGCACTGAATGAGTTTTGGTCCAGTGACTCCCAGGACAAGGTTGAGGCCACGAAGGAGGGAAAAGGCACCCGGTCTGCAGAGACTCTGGTGCTTAGTCACAAAGCGGTGGTGCTGCCCAGCTGGCCGGAAGAGGACACCCTCAGTGAAGATGAGGTCAGAGGAAACAAGATGCTCAGAGCTGAGCCTTTCTTTGACAGCAGCAAAGACTATCTGAGGCACGGCTGGATGGCCAGGGAATGCAATGCCATGATGGAGCACAAGATGACGGAGCACAACCGCACATGTGTGCCCCACTATACATTCATCCACGAGGACGTGGAGACCGTCAAATCTGTCTGCAACAGTCCTGCTGTTGCCTGCGAGCTCAAGGGAGCCAAATGTCACAAGAGCTCCCGTCCTTTTGATCTGACATTCTGCAAGTTGTCCAAGCCAGGCCAAGTGACCCCTCACTGCAATTACCTGACTTTCATCTTTGAAAAGTTCATTGTCCTGTCCTGTAATGACACGAAGTCCAGTTAACATCCTGACGATAAAGGAACTTTTCTTCTTCCTGTCCACACCCTCTTTCTCATGCTCTTCTGTTCCTCTTACGTGGTCTGTAAAAAAGTTGTTGTGAGAGAGATTTCCCTACTCTTTACTGAAAATATAGTTCTTTTTTTGCCTCAGGCTGCACGCAACTCTCATTTTGTTCTTAGGCTCAGAGGCGGCAAGATAAGGTAATGATGACTAGGGCCCCTGTCTCCTGTTCTGGAAAGCGACGAGCAACGACATGTCTCTCCTGTAGTCCTGTCATCAGTCTGCCCCCCCCAGTCTGTTTGCCTTTGGACCCCTTCCGGAAAGTTCCATCCTGCTCCCCTCCTGGAGCCCTGAGGGCATAAGCCTGTGGACCTTCATACAGTATTTCTTTGTAGGGCGCCATCAAAAAGATTCTATCTGTGATTGCAGGAGGACCATGTGGGTCAGGTTTCTTGCCCTGAGTCTGAATAAACATAGGATCTAGGTTTAGGGGTCTGCTGGTGGGTTGTTCGGGTACCACAGATCAAGGTAGAACATGTATTAGGGCAAGCACAGGGTTCTAGTCAGCCTTCTCTGCCCTTTCCTGTTTTTACCATCTTTTATTTCCTCTCCCAGCACCCCGTACTCCCCACTACTTATCCTTTTTTCTCCTTTTCCTCTTCTTTTTTGGGCTCTCCCTCTTCTTTGGACTCTTAGAAATTTCCTCAGCCACCACAGATCACTTTTGTTATGCTGATAAAAAGATTCTGGTCCTGAAGTCATAGAGCCCGGTATAGGGGCTTGAAGCTGTGTGGAGCGACAGAATCATAAACAGGATATCGATGTTTAGTCTCTCTAGGTTCACTATCTCTGGGGTCCTGTTGAGGAGAGAAGAATCATCACTCCAAATTAGCTCTAAAAAGTAGCATACTGCTCACATGAGGTGGTTGGTGGGTATAAAATGAATAGGATCAACAGAATCTCACTCTCATTCAGCACCCCTTCCTCCTTTTTGCTCTGATGACAAGAAAGTCGGTGGAAGAGTAATATCAGAGAAAAGTCAGAGGAAGGATCGGCTATGCTCCAAGAGAAGGAAAGCTATGGTGCTGGATAAATAGAGATTATAAGTAGATGTTCTTAACCTGTTTCCTCTGAACTCAAGTCAGAGTGGGTGTCAGATAAAATCCAAGACATTATGTATGGTGCATGGGTGTAGAGGGAAACCAAGAAAATAACTACAAGGATTCACTGGGTGACTTGATTTTGAGATCTCTTCCTCCTAGGAATTTTCTGTTTCACTCTCCTGGGCTATGATATACTCAAGAGAGAGAAACCATCATAGGTGCGAGACCAAGGGAAGCAAATGTTTGACTTTCTCTGATTCAGCTTGTACTTTCCTGTTCTTCATCATTTATTCCACAATTTCTTTTATTCCTCCTGTTCTCCCATGCAGTCAACCACTTAAATGTGTTGCCATTGTTAGATAGTCTAACTCCTGATGTATTTTACAGACTGCCACCTCCACCTACACACCAAAGAGATCGCAGGTGCTGACAATTACAACTCCCAGCATACTAGAAGCCTGACTTCCTGAATGGGGGCCAGCTAGGAAGGACCAACATGGATATGTAAGGGAGGTGAACCAAGGAAGTGGGGAGACATGTGGAGGAGAGACATGTGGGGAGGTTGTTCCTGGGCTTTGGCAGAGACAATGACATCTTGATGTGGTGTATTTTGAATTTTGGGTCTTTTGTCTCAGCTCTCTGGGAACTGCCTAACCCTTTTCTTGTGGGTCTTTGTAAAAAACTAGATTAGATTTGTGGCAAGTTTTTAGGCCTCAGTGACCCTTCTTCAGGTCAAGTTTGTTTGGCTGGGCATTTGCCCATGAGGGGATGGGTAATTTTTAGAGTTTTATTGGAAAGTCTTTTCTTCGCTCTCTGTCTATCTCTCTCTCTCTCTGCATACCAAGTCTATTCAAAATCTATCACACTGAGTCTGCTTTCTTTACCTTTGTGTAAATGGGTAGCCAAATCCCTTTTAGAACATGCACCCCTTAATAGTTTGGGGTCCCTGGGTATCCCTCAGTCATGTGTTAACACTTCTAGTATCTTCTCAGACTCCCCTGATTCAACATGTCTCTGACTCACCTGTCTTGGTGTCACTCTTAGGAACATCTGTGGGTTGGGGCTCTCCCTGGTGGCATAGCTGGTTGAGCGCTGCACTGCAAAGCTAAGCCAAGCTGTGGCCACTTCAGTGAAAGTTCAATCCCCACCCCAGAGGTGACTCACATGGTAAAGCAGATCTCTCCTGTCTTGCCTGCTGTTCCTCTCAGCAGTGTACTTCATCGACCTGCCTGTTCTGCTCCCACTCTGTTTCTAATGAATCCTCTCACCACCCCTGCATCTCTGGCCAGAGATGCAGGTGTGGTGAGAAGATTCACCAGAGACAGAGTGGGGAGCAGAACGGGCAGAGTGACAAAGTACACTGCTGAGGGGAGCAGCTGGTGGGTCAGGAGAGTCTGCGGTGACATGTGGATCACCTCTGGGCAGGGATCGAACTCATGCTCAAATGGCTTTAGCTTTTTAGTGCTGTGGTTTAACCTGCTGAGCCACCAGGGAGGGCCCAATAAGTAAAACTTTAAAAAAAGAAAGAAAGATATCTGTGTGTTACCCTGACATTTCAGAGCTGGGTAGAGGAGTAGGGAGGTGAGGACCTAGCCAACATGGATTCCCATTTTTCTTGATTGGGAACCCCATCAAGGTGAAACATCATCTAAAGCAAGGTAGAGAATGAGAAATGCGGTGTAAGGAGAGGAAAGAGTGGGTGTCAGATAAAATCAGCTATTTTAGGAATCTACCCAGTAAGTAACCAAAGCCATCAGGATCAGGAATGGAATGTGAGCAAGTTCCAGGCTTAACACAACCCCCAGGCAAAGGGTCTATCCTATGGAGTAAATTATTAATAGACTGGATGTAGCAAGATTGAAGCCTTCTCTCATCACAGATGAGACTACACCCTCTTAATCTCACCAGTTTCTCTCTTTATGGCTTCCCACTCTTAAAGGCCAAGGAGGCATAAATTCTTACAGTTTCGGGAGGAGACTGATGACCAGGCCCAAAGGAGAGTCAAAACAATGCTTCTATCTGGCCTGCCAATCTCCACTGCCAACTTGTCTCCATGGTGAGGCCTTTATCTGTCTGTGGAGACCTCAGAAGAGCAGCGATAGGACACTCTGCAGCAGGCTCCAGCAGCCAGACAGTTCCTGTGACTGATGTACAAAGTTGTAAATGCTTCATCAGGGACAGAAAAAGAACTTAACTGTGTCCAAATTCTGCCTTGTCTGTAAGAGTTTCACCAAGTCTTTTCAACTCCATTGAGGTTCTTGTTTTGCATTTCTAGTGGATCTGCTTTAACCTATATATATGTACACACACACACACACACACATATACCTTTATGCATTCTCCTTAAATCCCCCAAGCCTTGAAAACAAAACGATTTTCTTTCAAAGTGACTCCAAAACTCATCTAAATGCACAAGCTAACTGCACTGACACAAGATACTGCCTTTATTTGTCTTAGGTGACCATTACACATTTCACTGAGGGAGAATCAATGTGCTTCATTATGAAAAGTACCTCAGAGATATCTCTTGAGGTAGTTAGTAATATAGGACATAAATACACACATATTGCTTTATAAAAGTTGAAAAATTCTAAGTTTTAAAATACATTGGTCCCAAAAGTTTTAGGTAAGGGGTTGAGGACCTATACAAATTATTTCATTAGCTCTTAATTAACTTGAGCGTGCCATTGATGTCCTATTTAGACAATTAGTATGTTTATGGAGACAATTACAAATTTCTTCTATATCTTTCATCCACACATTAATTAAGCAAGAGTTTTCTGCTTTTTGATTAGCCAGTACCTCCTTGGAAGTCATAAATGTTACAATAAAACATGGGATCATTTAGGAGATGCAGGATGTTTTCTTCTTCCTGTCAAATCTTGTATAGTAAAATGAAAAGAACTGAGCTGCCTAATTCGTGTTTCAGAGAGTGCAATATGATTCCCTTTTTAAGACAAACAGGAAGGAAACTGTCTGCTGAGTACTTCACTAGGTGCTATAATACGTTTGGCTTTATAATTACTATAAGGAGATAATTTATTAGATCCTCTTTATAGAAGATATGAAACATGTTTAATGCACCTAGTTTACCTTGACCAAGATCATCCAATGCTGATGAACTATAATTTATCATCAGAGATGATGGCTAATCTGTGATCCAAATGGAGACTTCCTGTCTTCCCTTCCATTTGCTGCTTCCGCTTTTGAGGGAACCTGAACCAGAAAGGGGGAAGGCTCATCTCAAAGTAGAGTTTGGCTTCTGGGGTCAGGATTTTTTGTCTTTGTGTTAGACAAAAAGTGCTCATTGTACTGAGCATATGTGTATTAGGTTCTATAGGAAAATGGTGAAAGAGAGAGAGAAGAGAAAGAGGAGAGAGAGAGGAGAGAGAAAAAAAACAGACAGATTGAGAAAGAAAAAGAATTTCTGTTTTCAGTGCATAAACACGGGACCTCAGTATGACTTTACAGGCTCAGCATTCTGGGTGATTGTGGACACTTCCCAGCACAATATTAAGAGATAAACAACTATACAATACGTGTGAGAAAGTTCAACAAAGTTCTAATTTTACTTCTTTAAAATGTGAAACCATCTTCCCACTTGCTTTCACTATCTCTCTTGTTCTCTTTTGGTCCCCGCTTGGTGTCCTTGGTCTGTTGCAAAATGGAGCACAGAATATAACAGTGGTGAGAGGAACCAAGGTTAAAACAAAAAAACAACTCCCTTACAATTTTCAAGGCACTCAAATGTCACCTTCAGAAGGCTCTGTAAAAGTTTTTCTCAACTTTGGCTGCTTATTAGAATCACCTAGGGGAGCTTAACAAATATAATAAATACAATCCCAGGCCCCTCTTTTTAGAAATGTTGATTTAATTAGTCTGATTTGGGAGCTGGGCATT